GCGCGGTGGAGAAGGACATGTAGTCTAGAGCACCGGGCACAGAGTCGGGGCCTGCGTAGGGGGCCATTCTCGCGATACAGTATTCAGCCTGGTCAGGTGGCAGCTCGCGGCGCAGCTCATCCGCTGTGATGTAATTCTGCAGAAAAAGCATGGTCAGGGTCGCAAAGCTTGGCAGTGGCCAGAAAGCAAAGCGGCACTGCCGCAATTAGTAAACTTGCCAATAATGTTAGGAACCTGTTTTTTTCTCTCCTAGTATGTATATGTATATATTTATATATACATATTAAACTTCATGTTTTCCATTTTAGTTTCCACTTCAACTTCCTTCCAAACTAAAACACATAAATTCCTAGGAGCCCTCCACACCCCCTCTTTAAAGACCTCTGCCGGTGTCTGGCAGAGTAAAATGAACGGCCAGTTTAGGAATCACAGCTACAGGCAGCTTTCTTAACTGGTCTGCAAAAGTGTGGGCCTTGCCACACACCTCAGCCAGCTCCCAGACTGGGCCTCTGAATTTCCTTTCCATCCCTACTAGGTAAATCAACTTGGAAGCTGCTGCTTATAGGAGTTGCAGGGTCTAGGATAGCAGCTCTCAACCTGACGGGCAAGACCCCTTTGGGGTCAAATGACTCTTTCACAGAGGTTGCATATTAGATATGCCGCATATAAGATATTTACATCACCTTACATAATAGTAGCAAAATTACAGTTATGAAATAGCAACGAAAATAATTTTATGGTGGGGGAGGTCACCACCACATGGGGAACTGTATTAAAGGGTCGGAACATTTGGACGGCTGACAACCACTGGGCTAGGGCTTACCAAAGATTTTACAGCTCCAAGTACTACAACTGTGAGTCCCTTGGGACGCAGTGGGAGGAAGAGTGGGGTTGCCCTCTGGTCAATCCACAAGTCAGGTGACCACTTCCCCTTCCTAGACTGTTTTCTTCCTCTCCAAAATTAGTCATTTTGACTAGATAGCTTCTGGGCCCTTTCAAGGTGGTATGGCTCACCTAACTACACACACCAAAGTATTTGCCTCCTCCATTCAACACAAGCGTTCCCCCTCCACCCCCGACTTGCAGGGTTCCTTGCAATGGTTTTTCTTAAGCTAATACCATCACCTAACACCTCAGCTGAGCCCAAGGTGTTACAGAATGGGCAGAGATGCAAAGCAATGAGGCCCAATGGGACCCTGGGAGGAATGACCGAGGTACTCATATCCTAGCTGTGTGTGCATGACAGACCAGAGTCCAAACAGTGCCTGAGCCACAGGAGACCCACCTTATCTCCAGCCAGGATCTTGAAGGATGCCATGACCTGATCTGCTGTATCTGTGTCGGCTGTCTCTCGAGACATGAAGTCGATGAAGGCCTGGAACGTCACTACCCCCAAGCGGTTGGGGTCTACAATGCTCATGATGCGGGCAAATTCTGCCTCTCCCTGGAGAAAACAGCCAACCCACACCTGTCACCTAGTGGCTTACTGGAGTACCTCAGGTAGACCTCAAGCCCTGAGAAGCCTATGGAGGACACAATACCCCTCTGACCTGGCTTGGGCTGCCCCAAGGGTGTGACAGTGACTCAACAGTTTGAGACTTGGGACTTCCCACCCCCTACAGATCCCTGGGTCCCCTTTATAGAAAATAATGGTGGTATTAATTACAGTGACAATAACATCAGTAAGGCTAACACCTATATAGCATGCACTATATGCCAGCTACTATTCTAAATGTTTTATATATTGTAATTCATCTTATCATCACCACAACTAGATAAAATCATAGTATTTCCATCGTATGGAAATCAGATGGAAATTAGCCCACACAGGCTAAGTGATTTGCCCAGGGTCAAATAACCAGTAAGTAGGAAGCTAGGGTTACAACTCTTTGCTGTTTCCTTATCGTTCTGTATTTCCTAAACGCCAATGGTGTGCACAGTACTCATGATCACTTTATTTAACTCTTACAACTACTAAGGGGGCTTCCTTCACTTGATCTGAGACTACTGATAGAAAAGTGGGGCTTACTGAGTACACACACATCTGGCCCAGCCCTTAGCTTTGCTGGGCATCGCATGGGTTCTGTATTTGACTCAGTAGACAGGAATCAACTGTCTATCCAGCCAAGTGTCCTGTCCTGCTCAGAAAGCTGAAGTGGGGACACACCAAGGCTAGAGAGAGGCCTGGGCTAATGACTGAATGATGGCTGGCCTGGTGGAGCTGTTATCAGGCAGAAATCTCTCCCTCCATGTCTCATGTAAGACAAAGTAGAATTATTGTTCCTATAGGCTTTGGGGTTTCCCATCCACAGTTGGTGTCCACCATGGGAATGAAAAGCCCTTTCTCTACCGTGTCATAAGATAAGCTGGTGCAGAGACCAAGATGAGGAGGCCAAGCCTCTCAGGCACACCCTGGCCCCATGGGTCATTTGGCTTTCAGGTGCCTTCTTCCCCAAGGATGGGGACAAGGAGCTCCCCTGGGGAGGGCAGGGCTAACCTAAGGGCATCGGGTCCACCATTATTAAGACTTAGCTGTTCCAGTTAGGTGGCTGCCTCCTAGCCAGGGCCACAGAAAGCCTGGCAGGTGGAGGATGGGGTTTACATTACCATGTTGTAACCCATGGAGATAAGGCAGGCGCGGAAATCATCTGTGTCCATCATGCCCGTCTTCTTCTGTAGGGCAGTGGCACCAAGACACAGGAGGGACAGACAGGTGGGAGGAGGAAGGGCCAGCCAGGGGCCAGGAAGACAGCAGAAAGGAAGGGTGGAGTTTATGGTGAAGATTAGAAGAGCCAAAGAATGTAGGAGGAACACGTCGAAGGAGGCCAGAGCAAAGAAATGCATAAGTTCAGTCCACAGGAGAGATGTGATGGGGAGAAGAAGCAGATACCCAGGCAGGTTCCCAGGAAAGATAACCGAGGGCAGAGGTCAGAAGTCAGAGGAATCCGACAGGGGACAGGCAGGGATAGCAGGAGAGGATGAGCCCCATGGCCCACGGGAAGGGGGACAGGGAGATTCAGACGGAGAGAGAAGAAAAAAAGGAGAAATGCGTTATTTCTCGCCCCAGAGGCCACCCTTGAGCGTGCTCCATGCAGGAGGCAAGTACCTGGGGGTCGTTGCCAATATCATAACCCAAGCTGATGAGGCAGGCTTTGAACTCTTCAGGAG